ATAAGTAATAATAAAAAATAGAATATATTTTTAAATTGTAAAATTTTTTAATATATTATATATTATTATTAGCTTATCCTCATCAATTAGGAAATAGAATATGTCATGGTCAAATTAAAAAAAAATCATGCAAAATTAAATTTTACAAACTTATACTGTTAGATCTTAAAGCATGTCTATTTGTAATTCTTATATGTAAAGGATTATATACACATCCACCACCACCTCTTACACGAACTCCAAATTATATTAAACAATGATTACAAATACTTGTTAAGCAAGCCAATGAAGATTTATTAGATATAACTTCTACCCGTAATGATACAAACAAGTTACGAAGTTGCATGAATAAAATTCAGAAAGAAAAATATCTATTTGGTCAAGATTTATTAGGAGTTGTATATAATTTTTACACAATATTGATAATTTTCAAGATTATGTTTAACAGCTAAGTAAGTAAATTCTTATTTGTAAAATTTAAAATTTTAATTATCTATCTAATTTATTATTTGGTTTAGATTTTTTTAATGATAGGCATGTAATAATTATTTGTACTACTCAAGTCCAAATACAAAAATAGATCGAATGTGATTATTTTGAAATTGATTTATCATTCAAAAGAGTTGCTAGAAATATTAACAAATTTGAAGTAAACTATTATGATAAAAAATATAATACAAGTAAGTTTTTTTACAATAATATATATATTAGATTTTATCATATTAATTGTAATTTATTTTTATTTAGTTTTAACTTTTGCTCGAATCTTTACGAATCAAGCAACTACTTCTGCATATCAATGTATGTTTGAAATATTATTCGATCTTGTCAAACAATTTACTAGTGAATCAGCAAAGTTTAATCACATTTACAAAAAAGGATGGAGTTGTATTGTTGGTAATCTTGATATAGCACAACTTACTGGATTAGGTAAAACATTAGCTTTAATTGATAATTCTTTCACGTGGAAAGAACATTTAGTTTATATTTTTAAATCATGTCAAGTTCATTATAAATGGTAAGTTAATAATAATAATTAAAATTAAATTTTTATTAACATTAAATATATTTTAATAATAAATTTTTATACAGAAAATTACATGAAAAAAGATTTGAAGATAACATTAAAGCTAAAATAGAATTATTATTAACTGCGAAAGCTGAAGAAGTAGATTTAATATTTAACGAATTATTAGAACTTGATAAAAACCTTATGGGTAAGTTTTATAAAATTATAATAAATATATTAAATAATTTAATTTAAAAAAAAAATATTAAATATATAATAGATTGGGTTCAATACTATAAACTAATCCAAATCTTTCAAAAATTCTATATAATTTGTGGCATACGGCACTATATAGTACAAATTGTATTAAAGCAGCACATGCTATGAGCAATCGTGAAGACAAACAACTCAAACTAATGACTGTGATAATAAGGTTTGTTTATAATATATAATAAATATGTTATAATATATTATTTATTATTTATTATTTGATTTTTTTTAGAGAACAAAAATTAGATATGCGCAATTATAAAAGAATTGATATAAAAGCTAATTACAATGTTAATCTAAGTGATCAAGATAAAGGTAGCATTTCGAGAAAAAAATTGGCAATTAAACGAAGTAGTAAATATATATTTTTTTAATTTTAAATTTTTTTTTATAATTATATTTATTAAATTGTTTTAAAAATAGCTAAACAGAAGGCTAAAGCTAATTCAACTAAAAAGCAAAATAATAAAAAACAACGAATATCTAAAGTAATTGATTTAACTGATGATATATCGCAAGAATTTCATGATAGTGAATCTAAAGAATCTGGTATGACAATGATGGAACAATTAGAATATGAGAAACGCAAGTTGATAATTGAAGAACGTAAAGAAAAACTAAAAAAATTATGAATTTCTAACGCAATTAAAGAGCATGAATATGGTCTTGATGAATAAATATATTAAGTATTATAATATCTATGTAGGGCTATTAATCGGTCCCAATAAGTTCTAATCGGTCCTGAGATAATTTAATAATTAC